ATAATGATCCCAGAAAATTTTACTTATGTCTTCTTTATCTATTTGTAGAAAGTGCAACATGAGTTGCTGGAGGTCTTTGCCAACCAACCACTTGAAAAACAAATTTCTGCATGTCGTGCGTTGCTCACAGATGATAAGGTATGGTGCACTCCATTCTTTTTGACTGTATGCAAAGAAGCATATAAAATAAATAGTTAACCAGCTTTGTTCACACTGTGCTAGGTGGATGATCTTTCCAGGATGTACAGGCTTTACCATAAAATACCCAAGGGATTGGAACTGATTGCTAATACATTCAAGCAGGTCTGGCTTTCTACTTTCTCTTTTCTGCAGGTTGAGTGGGCTGATCTTTTTATTTACCTCTTTTGCTTACACTTTCTGAGAATGTACTTTTGCAGCATGTCACTAATGAGGGTACCGATCTCTTTCAACAAGCTGAGGATGCTGCAAGTAACCAGGTAAAGGATGGCGTTTTTTATTTTTTCCTGATAGTAATATCAAGAATGCTGCACTTGATACCATGCTAAGTTGTCTCTATAAATAAAAAAACTTTTTTGCTATTGTTTCTACGGACGAGTATTTTTTCTTATATCAGATATTTTTACTTATATTTGAAATTAAAATATCAGATATTTGCTACAACTGATAATCTTATTTTCTTCCTTAGGCTACAACTTCTTCTGGTGCCCCAGGGCAGGTAAGCGTACAATGTGCTGTGTCCTGTGGTTTCTTTTGGAAATTTTTGAAGATGTCCAAAACTGATTTGATTGTTATCTTCAGGTCCTCATCAGGAAAATAATTGAATTGCATGATAAGTACATGGCTTACGTGACTGACTGTTTTTCAAACAACACACTATTCCACAAGGTTTGTGATGGAGAATAATGCCAAACTGGTTCTTGGATCTTTTCCATGACTTTATCTTAATGTGCTTTTTAAAAACCCTTCAATAGGCTTTGAAGGAGGCTTATGAGGTCTTTTGCAACAAAACTGTTGCTGGCAGTTCCAGTGCTGAACTTCTGGCAACTTTCTGTGATAATACCCTCAAGAAAGGCGGAAGTGAGAAATTGGGTGATGAAGCTATTGAAGAAACACTTGA